CTAGGAATAAATTTAACCAAAGAGGCAAAGTATCTGTACTCAGAAAACTATAAAATACTCATGAAAGAAATTGAAGAAGACACAAAGAAATGGAAAAACATTCCATGCTCATGGATTGGAAGAACAAACATTGTGAAGATGTCAATGCTACCTAGAGCAATCTACACATTCAATGCAATCCCCATCAAAATACCATCCACTTTTTTCAAAGAAATAGAACAAATAATCCTAAAGTGTTTATGGAACCAGAAGAGACCCCGAATAGCCAGAAGAATATTGAAAAAGAAAAGCAAAGCTGGCGGCATCACAATTCCGGACTTCCAGCTTTATTACAAAGCTGTCATCATTGGGACAGTATGGTACTGGCACAAAAACAGACACATAGATCAATGGAACAGAATCAAGAGCCCAGAAATGGACCCTCAACTCTATGGTCAACTCATCTTTGACAAAGCAGGAAAGAATGTCCAGTGGAATAAAGACAGTCTCTTCAACAAATGGTGTTGGGAAAATTGGACAGCCACATGCAGAAGAATGAAAGTGGACCATTTCCTCACACCACACACAAAAATAGACTCCAAATGGTTGAAAGACCTAAATGTGAGACAGGAGTCCATCAAAATCCTAAAGGAGAGCACAGGTAGCAACCTCTTTGACCTCAGCCGCAGCAACTTCTTCCTAGAAACATCGCCAAAGGCAAGTGAAGCAAGGGCAAAAATGAACTATTAGGACTTCATCAAGATAAAAAGCTTTTGCACAGCAAAAGAAACAGTCCACAATACCAAAAGACAACTGACAGAATGGGAGAAAATATTTGCAAATGACATATCAGATAAAGGGCTAGTATCCAAAATCTATAAAGAACTTATCAAACTCAACACCCAAAGAACAAATAATCCAATCAAGAAATGGGCAGAAGACATGAACAGACATTTTTCCAAAGAAGGCATCCAAATAGCCAACAGACACATGAAAAAGTGCTCACCATCGCTCGGCATCAGGGAAATCCAAATCAAAACCTCAGTGAGGTACCACCTCACACCAGTCACAATGGCTAGAATTAACAAGTCAGGGAATGACAGATGTTGGCGGGGATGTGGAGAAAGGGGAACCCTCCTACACTGTTGGTGGGAATGCAAGCTGGTGCAACTCCTCTGGAAAACAGTATGGGGGTTCCTCAAACAGTTGAAAATAGAGCTACCATACAATCCAGTAATTGCACTACTGGTTATTTACCCCAAAGATACAAATGTAGGGACCCGAAGGGGCACGTGCACCCCAATGTTTATAGCAGCAATGTCCACAAGAGCCAAACTGTGGAAAGAGCCAAGATGTCCAATGACAGATGAATGGATAAAGAAGTGGTATATATACACAATGGAATATTATGCAGCCATCAAAGGGAATGAAATCTTGCCATTTGCAACGACATGGATGGAACTGGAGGGTGTTATGCTGAGTGAAATAAGTCAATCAGAGAAAGACATGTATCATGACCTCACTGATATGAGGAATTTTTAACCTCAGGAAACTGAGTGTTGCTGGAGTGGTGGGGGTGGGACGGATGGGGTGGCTGGGTGATAGACATTGGGGAGGGTATGTGCTACGGTGAGCGCTGTGAATTGTGCAAGACTGTTGAATCACAGATCTGTACCTCTGAAACAAATAACGCAATATATGTTAAGAAAAAAAGAAGAAGAAGAAGATAACGGGGGGGAGAATAAAGGGGAGTAAGTCGGAGGGGGAGACGAACCATGAGAGACGATGGACTCTGGAAAACAAACTGAGGGTTCTAGAGGGGAGGGGGGGTCGGGGGATGGGTTAGCCTGGTGATGGGTATTAAAGAGGGCACGTTCTGCATGGAGCACTGGGTGTTATGAACAAACAATGAATCATGGAACACTACATCAAAAACTAATGATGTAATGTATGGTGATTAACATAACAATAAAAAAATTTAAAAAAAGAATGCAATGAACATAGGGTGCAGGTATCTTCAAAACGGTGATTTCAAGCTGCTTCTTAATTTTCTTGAGCTCAAGATAATTATGTGGTGACGTATTCTGTTTTATTTCACTAGAAAATGTCCCTGTTACTATTTCCTGAAATGTACGTTTTTTTTTTGTTATTTTTTTATATGAGATTGTAGCTGTGGAGTGTTCCAGTTTTAGAAAGATAACTTGTTTCTAACCCTTTGGGTAAGGTGACCCCTAAGCTTTATCTGGTTTCCAGTGCTCCATGACAACAGTCAAAACAGAAACTAAGGTTCCCAAGTTTATTTTAGACCCTCAGAATGAATGTCAGTTTCTGTGGTTGCTTTTCTCTTGGGAATCCCATTTTCACTGAATTGTGACATTCTGCAGAGTTTTTACCATCTTGTTGGGTTAGCAGTGTTTTCCCTAAACTGGTTTGCATTATACAACAATATTATAAAAAGTTTTTTGTTATTTTCCGTGGGACCTAATAGCAGACTATTTTCCCTTCCTTAATTCCAGAAACAGAAACATAGTCCAATTTATATTGCTTTATTTTTTCAAAGCAAACATATGTGTTTTTTTGTGCACTTTCTATGATTTAAATATTTAATAATAAAATCTTAAAACAAATGTGACTAACTAAATACTAAATTTTGTTAATTATGAGTGGTGCATATTACAACTTTACACAAGAATTTAAAAACTAATTTGGACTAACACATTCCTCAGCCCTTGATTGACTATGTAGAATATAAATGGTTTTCTCCATGGCATTTTATACCAATTTTCCCCCAAAATGCTGTTCAACCCACTTCTTCATGCCCCCCACAAAACACACAAATGGCAATTACACTTAGAATAAAAGCCAAAATTATAATGGGGTACACAAAGCTCTACATGATTTAACCTCTGCTTCTCTCTCCTCCACTTCTTAGGCTCCTCATCTTCTCTATCATTCTGCTCTGATCAAATTGGCTTTTTTTTTTGGTAATTGTTTTGTTTTGCCATTTTTTAAATTTGAGTGTAGTGCATAGACAATATTAAATTAGTTTCAGGTATAGAAGCAACCTAAGTGTACATCAATAGATGAATGGATAAGGAAGAGGTGGTATGTATACACAATGGAATATTGCACAGCCATAAAAAAGATGTGATCGTGCCATTTGAGATGATATGGATGGACTTGGAGGGTATTATGCTAAGTGAAATAAGACTGAGAAAGACAAATACCATATGATTTCACTCATACCTGAAATCTAAAACAAACAAATGAATAAACAAACAAAAAGAATCAGCACACATGAAAAAATGTTCATCGTCATTAGCCATCAGGGAAATTCAAATCAAAACCACATTGAGATACCACCTTACACCAGTTAGAATGGCAGAAATTGACAAGGCAAGGAACAACAAATGTTGGAGAGGTTGTGGAGAAGGGGGAACCCTCTTATACTGTTGGTGGGAGTGCAAGTTGGCACAGCCACTTTGGAAAACAGTGTGGAGGTTCCTCAAAAAATTAAAAATAGAGCTACCCTATGACCCAGCAATTGCACTACTGGAAATTTACTCCAAAGACACAGATGTAGTGGAAAGAAGGGCCATATGCACCCCAATGTTCATAGCAGCAATGTCTACAATAGCCAAACTGCAGAAAGAGCTGAGATGCTCTTCAACAGACTAATGGATAAAGAAGATGTGGTTCATACATACAATGGAATATTACTCAGCCATCAGAAAGGATGAATACCCAACTTTTGCATCAACATGGATGGGACTGGAGGAGATGATGCTAAGTGAAATAAGTCAAGCAAAGAAAGTCAATTATCATATGGTTTCACTTATTTGTGGAACATAAGGAATAGCATGGAGGATATTAGGAGAAGGAAGGGAAAAATGAAGGGGGAGAATCGGAAACAGAGATGAACCATGAAAGGCTATGGACTCTGAGAAACAAACTGATGGTTTTCAAGGGGAGGTGGGTGGGGGATGGGTTAGCCCGCTGATGAGTATTAAGGAGGGAACGTACTGCATGGAGCACTGGGCGTTATATGCAAACAATGAAACATGGAATACCACATCAAAAACTAATGATGTACTATATGGTGACTAACATAACATAATAATAATAAAGCAGAATCAGACGTATAAGTACAAACTGGCTTTCTTTAGAGTCATAGACTCTTCCAACTTCTGCACGTTTGCAAGTAGTATCCCATTTGCCGAGAGTACTGTTATCCTTATGATTTCTCCACACAACTTCTAGTCACTCTGCAAGTTTCCACTCAGATGTGATTTTCCCCTTGAAGCCTGGAAAGTCCTTTTCAAACTCAATTCTTTATTTTTCTGTGTTTTGTAGTAATTGGTGCCATATTTTTACTGTGAGGAGTAATTCAATTTCTGCCAAACATCTCATGTACTGCATTAAAATAGTAGTGGCATTTTGAAATTTTGAGGTTATATTTGTTGCTATTTGAACTTTTATTTTGAAAACTTTTAAATATAGCAAATGTAATGAACCCTCATATACCTTTCACCCAGCTTTAGATTTATTTAATTTTCAAAATTTTTGAGTTTGAAAAGTTCTAAAACCCTTCTTAGTGTAATATTTGTGCACATTTAATAAAATTGTAGTTCGAAGTTTAGTTTAACCCTGGGTTTCATCAACAGTTTATTAAATATAAAAAATGAATCTGTTCATTACTAGAAATTTTACAAAAATTAAAGAAAACCTTCTTATAGAAGGTAAGTTCTTTAATTATTGGCCTTTATTCCCCTGCAAGGTTATTTTTGTGTCAGGTCATAGATGGAAAAATAATTCAATAACTATTGGCAGTATTTTCTTCAGGAAGTTTTCTCACAGAGAACATTCAGAGAATGGCTTATTTTTTTAAGATTTTATTTTTATTTATTTGAGATAGAGCAAGAGTGAGAGAGTGAGAGAGCATAAGCAGGGGGAAGGGAAAAGGGAGAAGCAGGCTCATCCTAGGACCCTGCGATCATGACCTGAGCTGAAAGCAGACACTTAACCAACTGAGCCACCCTGGCGTCTCAAGAATGGCTTCTGTGTTTTTGAATTCTTTATATTTTTATAAATCATAAGCTTTTACACAATCCTCTGCATGCAGATGTATGTGTTTGGAGTTAAACAGTTTTCTGTATAACCTTTAAAACTTGATCCATAAACTGCACAAGTTCCATTCTCCATTTCAACCATTGTTAATCTAGATTAGAAAGAAGGACAAATTATATTTGTGATTTTATTAATACATAAATATAAAAATGCAATAAAATAAATATAGGTATTGAAATAATATCATTTCAGAAGGTTTTAGGACCATGCCTGGTCTTTCTTTGTTAAAGATATGCAAAATATAGCTAACTCAGTTATAAAAGCAGAAGTTACATTCTATTATAAATTATATGCCATTATTTTTTTCTGCATTGGAAATTAGTCAATTTAGGAAGTCTGAAATCTCTTGATATATGTACCTGAGTGAAATGAAAGTTTTTAAATAGTTTTTTTTCAACAAATAGATGAGAAATGAATTTAGAATTCAATTTAGAAGTCAGCAGATGTCATGTTTTATGCAAAAATAAACAATCTTCTTTGGATATATGCAACTTTACTTGGTAAGGAAATAAAAATTGTAAAATTCTCTTATATATTAAATATGTCTGTGTATATATATATAAGTATGTATAAATATAAATATATGTGTGTGTGTGTGTGCATAGGCATTCCATGTAGAGATAGTTATATCTGTGTATCTATTTGCCTTGGAATCTGGTGATTTGTTTTCTTCCAGGAACAGGTGGGAAATAAAAGGCCAAGGAAAGAGTGAGGATGCATCAGCATGAATATGAACAATAAAATAGTTTGTATTCAAAAGGAGAAGAGAAGAAACTCAGTCCATAGAAACCACTAAATGCTCTTAGTTGGTCTCAGTCTATGCACATTAGAGTCTCATTTTTAAATCTCACTTTGTTTTTGTATTCCTTCAGTTTCTGTGTGTGTTTCCTATACCATTCATATTCCATGTCTGCCAGAGTGCTGATTATTCTGGATTGTACTTATTTGCTTATAACCATATCTCTAACTGAAGTGTGAAGCCCTTGAAGTTGTGTCTTATTCATCTCTGTCATTATCTCTGCATAGTTCCTGGAAATTGAGTTACACTCAACAAATATTTATCACATGCATAAACTGGAACTTAATTTGCCAGTTGTTTTGCTTTTGCTTCTAAAACAAACGTTTACACTTGCAGTGTGGAAAATATTGAGATAAGGTGATACAAATTTTATTAGTATTTCTAGAGAATAAACTTTTTTTTGTCAAAAATAAAATCTCAAGCCATACAGAAATGAGGTCATCCAAGATCAATTCTAAGGTATACTGGGGTTCCAAATATATAATGAGGTAGGAGGGTAAGTAGTTATAAGGAATATAAGGGGAGATATGAAAGAAACAGAAGGTTATGCATTGATTACTGCCAACTAACCATTACAGAAGCAAAGTAAACTTCAAAATCAATGAGAAGAGATTTTTTTTAAAAAGATTGATTTATTTTAGAGAGAGAGAGAGGGAGTGGGGAGGACCAGAGGGAGTTTATTTTCAAGCAGACTCCCCTCTGAGCATGGAGCCCAAGGCAGGGCTCAATCCAAGACCCATGAGATCATGACCTGAGCTGAAACCAAGAGTCCAAGAGTGGGATGCCTAACCAACTGAACCACCCAGGTGCCTTGAGAAGAGATTTTTTAAAGTCATTTAATGATAATTCTGGCTGTAGAGTAAGAAAGACACATATTTGAATATCTACCAGAATTATTACTCATTTTATAGCTTAGGTGAATTATTCTACACTCTAAGACGCTGTTCCTAACCAGCAAAATTAGGTTAGAAATGACCCCTGTTATAACCCCTGTTATAGAGGTTTTTAAGAGTCCTCAATGAGAAGATATATATATAAAGTGCTTAAAACTATGTCTGATGGAAAGGAAGCAGCTAATTAACCCGATATTAACATTAATGTTGTTGTGATGTTTTTATTATGTACTACAGAATTAGGGCTTCAAATAAGTAAAATATACTTGAAATAAAGAATTAAAAACTTTTACAGTTATATATAAGGAAAAGCACCTGTTAACTTCATCCCAATTTTAATTTGCTTAATGTATTTGTGATTGTAGTGTATCTGAGGGAGAGGAAAGAGAAATGCGGGGGGCATTTGAAGAAATGATGGTAGTAAATTTTCTAATTTTGTTTGAAAATTATAAACTCAGATATCCAAGAGTCTCAACAAAACACAAGAACAAGAAAAAAAAAGTAATCCAAGGCATATTACAACCAAATTTCTCAAATCCAGTTATAAACCAAGTGGGATTTATTCCTGGGCTGCAAGGTTGGTTCAACATCCTCAAATCAATCAATGTGATACAATACATTAATAAAAGAAGAACAAGAACCATATGATCCTCTCAATAGATGCAGAAAAAGCATTTGACAAAGTACAGCATCCTTTCTTGATTAAAACTCTTCACAGTGTAGGGATAGAAGGTACATACCTCAATATCATAAAAGCCATCTATGAAAAACACGCAGCGAATATCATTCTTAATGGGGAAAAACTGAGAGCTTTTTCCCTAAGGTCAGGAACATGGCAAGGATGTCCAATATCACCACTGTTATTCAACATAGTATAAGAAGTCCTAGCCACAGGGGCACCTGGGTGGCTCAGTCGGTTGAGCGACTGCCTTCGGCTCAGGTCATGATCCTGGAGTCCCCGGATCGAGTCCCGCATCGGGCTCCCTGCTCAGTGGGGAGCCTGCTTCTCCCTCTGACCCTCTCCCCTCTCGTGCTCTCTATCTCATTCTCTCTCTCAAATAAATAAATAAAATCTTAAAAAAAAAAAAAAAGAAGTCCTAGCCACAGCAATCAGACAACAAAAAGAAATAAAAGGCATCCGAATCGGCAAAGAAGTCAAACTCTCACTGTTTGCAGATGTTATGATACTTTATATGGAAAACCCAAAAGACTCCACCAAAACGGCTAGAACTCATACAGGAAAACAGTAAAGTGGCAGGATATAAAATCAATGCACAGAAATCAGTGGAATTCCTATACACCAATAAGACAGAAGAAAGAGAAATTAAGGAGTCGATCCCATTTACAATTGCACCAAAAGCCATAAGATATCTAGGAATAAGCCTAACCGAAGAGGTAAAGTTTCTGTACTCTGAAAACTAGAGAACACTTATGAAAGATATTGAGGAAGACACAAAGAAATGGAAAAACGTTCCATGCTCATGGATTGAAAGAACAAATATTGTGAAAATGTCTATGCTACCTAGACCAATCTACACATTTAATGCAATCCCTATCAAAATACCATCCACTTTTTTCAAAGAAATGGAACAAATAATCCTAAAATTTATATGGAACCAGAAAAGACCCTGAATAGCCAAAGGAATGTTGAAAAAGAAAAGCAAAGCTGGCAGCATCACAATTCCAGACTTCAAGCTCTATTACAAAGCTGTCATCATCAAGACAGTATGGGACTGGCACAAAAACAGACACATAGATCAATGGAACAGAATAGAGAGCCCAGAAATGGACCCTCAACTCTATGGTCAACTCATCTTTGACAAAGCAAGAAAGAAAGTCCAATGGAAAAAAGACAGTCTCTTCAACAAATCGTGTTGGGAAAATTGGACAGCCACATGCAGAAGAATGAAACTGGACCATTTCCTTACACCACACACAAAAATAGACTCAAAATGGGTGAAAGACGTAAGTGTGAAACAAGAGTCCATCAAAATTCTTGAGGAGAACACAGGCAGCAACTTCTTAGACCTCAGCCACAGCAACTTCTTCCTAAAAACATCGCCAAAGGCAAGGGAAGCAAGGGCAAAAATGAACTCTTGGGACTTCATCAAGATAAAAGCTTTTGCCCAGCAAAGAAAACAGTCAACAAAACCAAAAGACAACTGACAGAATGGGAGAAAATATTTGCAAATGACATATCAGATAAAGGGCTAGTATCCAAAATCTATAAAGAACTTATCAAACTCAACACCCAAAGAAGAAATGATCCAATCAAGAAATGGGCAGAAGACATGAACAGATATTTTTCCAAAGAAGACATCCAAATGGCCAACAGACACATGAAAACATCGCTCGGCATCAGGGAAATCCAAATCAAAACCTCAATGAGATACCACCTCACACCAGTCAGAATGGCTAAAATTAACAAGTCAGGAAATGACAGGTGTTGGTGAGGATGCAGAGAAGGGGGAACCCTCCTACACTGTTGGTGGGAATGCAAGCTGGTGCAGTCACTCTGGAAAACAGTATGGAGGTTCCTCAAAAAGTTAAAAATAGAGCTACCCTATGACCCAGCAATTGCACTACTGGGTATTTACCCAAAGATACAAATGTAGTGATACTAAGGGGTACCTGTACCCCAATGTTTATAACAGCAATGTCTACAATAGCCAAACTATGGAAAGAGCCTAGATGTCCATCAACAGATGAATGGATAAAGAAGATGTGGTGTGTAAGACTGATGAATCACAGACCTGTAACCCTGAAACAAATAATACATTATATGTTAACAAAAAAGATAAAAAAGAAAAAAGTGACTCCAACTGTATTCTGTCTATAAGAGTATTCTGTCTATAAAAGTTTACTTTTAATATAAATGTACACATAGGTTAAAAAAAGAATGCAAAATAAATACCACATTAACACTAATCAAAGAGAACCTGGCAGGGCTATAATTATGATAGACAAAGGAGGATTTCACAGCACACACAAAAAAAGAGCTCATTACATAATGATTAGAGTCATAAATTCATCACGAGTACATAACAATCCAAACATTTATCAATAGAACTTCAGAGTAATTTGGAAAAATTGTTTGAAATGCAAGTAGAATACATAATTCCATAATTATAGTCCAAGATTTCAATATATGTCTTTCAGTAATTAATAGAGTAAGTAGAAAATCAGAAAAGATATAGAAGACTGGAGCAATACTCCCAACTAACTTGACCTAATTGAAATTATAGTATACTCTACCCAAGAATAATATAATACACATTCTGTTCAAGTGTACATAGAACATTTCAGAAAATAGACCATAGTCTGGTCCATAAAACTAATCTCAATAAATTTAAGTGGGTCCAAGTCATACAAACTATGCTCTTGACCAAGACGGGACTAAATTAGAACTCAATACAAGAAAAATCTCTGGAAAATTCCTAATGTTGGAAACTAAATAGCACACTTCTGAATAATCCATGGATCAAAGAAGAATACAAAAGGAAATTTAGAAGGTATATTAAACGGAATGAAAATGAAAACACAATATCTCAAAACATGTAAGGATGTTGCTATATTATCTCACATATTAGTAGCCTGAATGCTTCTATTAGAAAAAAAATTTCAAATTAATAGATCAGTTTTCACTACAAAAAACTATGGTGACTTTCTTTCTTTTTTCTTTAGGGGATAGGTAAATGGGAGTCCTTTAATAGAGCTGAAGGTTGAATGAGGAACCTGTGTGAATGAATACTGAAAGAAATACAGTGGAAGTAGGGCGCAGAAATTAATGAAATAGAAAATTGACAAATAAGTGATAAATAAGCACCAAAGTGATGTTCATTATCATTAGTCATTAGTGAAATGCAATTAAAACCACAATGAGATACCACTGCACACCTATTAGAATAGCTAAAATGTAAGGGACTGACTGTAACAAGTGTAGACCAGGATGTAGAGCAACTAGAACTCTTACACACTGTTAGTGGGAATGTAAAATGGAACAGTTACTTTGGAAAATAGTTTGGCAGTTTCTTAAAAAGTAAAACACATACCTATTATATTACCCAACCATTCCACTCCTAGGTATTAATGTAAGAGAAAAGAAAGCCTATGTTCATACAAAGACTTGTACACAACTCTTCATTGCAAGTAGCCTTATTATTAATAGTCAACAACTGGAAATTACCCACCTACCTATCCATCAGCAGATGAAAGGATAATCAAATTGAGCTACACTCATAGATGGAATCCCTCTCAGGAATAAAAAGAAATTAATTTTTTATACATGCCTTGAAGTGCCTGAATCTCAAAATAATTATATTGAGTGAAAAAGCCAGACATAAGAATAGTACATATGGGGCGCATGGGTGGCTCAGTTGGTTAAGCGACTGCCTTTGGCTCAGGTCATGATCCTGGAGTCCCGGGATCGAGTCCTGCATCGGGCTCCCCGCTCGGCGAGGAGCCTGCTTCTCCCTCTAACCCTACTCCCTCTCATGTACTCTCTCTCTCTCTCATTCTCACTCTCTCAAAATAAATAAATAAATCTTAAAAAAAAAAGAATAGTACATATGGCAGAAATCCATTTATATTAAATTCTATAAATTGCAAATTAATCTATAATGACAGAAAGCAGATTAGTTGCCTGGGGACAGAAAGAGGTGGGCAGAAAGGGATAAGAAGCAGATATTACAAGGATGCAAAGGGAAAGTTTTGCAGGTGATAAATATGTTAATTATTTTGATGTTATTAATGGTTTTGTGGATGTATACCTTTTTCAAAATTTATCAAATTGTACACTTTAAATATGTGTAGTTTATTGAATGTAATTATATCTCAACAATTCAGTTAATAACCTCAAGAAAGAATATGTTTTTGATATTTAACCTCTCCTCTAGTCTCCTTATCTGTAAAATGGCCATAGTATTATGTGCTGCAAAGCAGTACTTAGCACATAGCAAACAATTAATGTAACTCATTGTTATTGGTATTGGCTGCTCTGCTCCATAATCTCCTAAACTTAGGTCCTCAGAGTTTTTTTCTGAATCTATTAGAATATGGGAACATCCTGGCATTGTGTGAAATAATGTGATCTTGAATGACCATAGGGACAGCTTAGAGACAAATCCACAAATAGACACCTATTGCTACAGACTTACTGGCTGGGCAAGAGAATGGTGCCGTCTTCCCACTGCCAAGATCCATTTGCTGGAATTTGTATTAGTCCCATCCAGTGATATGACTTCACCAATTTAAAGAAATCCTGTTTGAGACCACAAATAAAATCAGTGCTTAGAATTTTAGTTAATACAAGGCCATAATCATTCAATCATTTTTTTCCCACACTTAGGGAAATGCATTCTGTCCTCTAGCCTAATTCTGACTTAAACACTGTACATAATACCTACAATTTCTGTGCTTTCTTATTTTTATTTATTTTTTTTAAATTTTGAATTTTAATATTTTTTAAAAAGGTTTTATTTATCTATTTGAGAGAGAGAACAAGGGAGAGAGAGAAAGAGCACACAAGTGGGGGGGAGGGGCAGAGGGAGAGGGCAAAGCAGGCTCTCTACTGAGCAAGGGGCCTGATGCAGGGCTCCATCCCAAGACTCTGGGATCAGGACCTGACCTGAAGGCAGATGCTTAACCGACTGAGCCACCCAGGTGCCCAGTGCTTTCTTATTTTTGATGCAGAAAGATTTAGGGTGGATATATCTCAGTCTTAGTGCCTCTCTTATGTTTCAGGTTTATATTCCAGTGATTTGCCTCACATGTTAGAAATGAATATAAGAAGGGAAATTAAAACAAACACTCAACCTGATCCTCTCTGCTGTATATCTTCAGGAGACTGGAATTTTGAGACATACAAGAAGCTTGGCTCTGGTACCAGCTTTTGCTCTCATTAAAAAATTGGTAGCAGTTATTTCTATAACATATCCAGTTTTTAGGACATGGGCCACAATAACATTCTGAAAGAGAGAATATATTCTTAATTCTGTACAAGTCTGAACATTATAGCAGATTTTGTCTAGACAGGTTAAATACTCTTATTGTAACTTTAACATTCCAGATAAACCAATCTGATCATCTCCAATGACATAACTTAACACATTTATATATATATAGAGAGAGAGAGAGAGATGCCAAAACTAAGTATCTTCTTCTTTTTAGAAGCACTCTTTCGTTGTTAACGAATAAAAAATTTTGGAATGTTGTGGATCATGGACAAAAATTAATAATTTTCTTATACATTCTCTTGTTAACAACATTGGATACATGCCTATACTCAATTATATAGAGATTCATGTAACTTGTGCTTCAAAATGTTAAAAAAAACTTTCACTTACCTTGCAAAGAAATTGGAGCTTCTTTGTTGAATAATGCTATTAAAATAATCATTAAGAGGATTAAGAGGTACTAACTTTCAGTTATAAAATAAGTCATGAAGATGAAAAGTACAGCATAGGGAATATAGTCAATAATATTGTAATAACATTGTATAGTGACAGATGGTGATTACACTCATCACTGTGAGCATGGAGTAATGTATAGAATTGTCAAATCACTATGTTGTACAACTAAAACTAATATAAAACTAATGTAAAACACAGTTCAATAATAAAAAAATCAAAATTATTAAAATGTGATTAGTTACATAGTCTTAGCAAAAGTAGACACATTTTTACACTAACAGCAAAAACATAAAGACACATACAATATTGTTAGTTTATGTCTCTGTGCTTCTGAATACTAATCAAAGTAATGCATTGCAATCATTAGATCAAGAATGCTCTATCTACTTCTCTACTATCACTTACAATGTACGATTATGGCACCGCATATCATTACCATTATAATGAAATGGATCCCCATAGCTACAGCAATGGCACGGGCTACGAAAAATGGAGATGCTGTCCAAAAAAAAAAAAAAGTGAGAAAGAATAGAAAATAAATATTAAAAAGTTTTGGTATGTTCATGTTTGATATAAATGTTATGAGTGTTTTTTATGGGAGGAGTGATATCAGTACTTTTACCTTAATTGTTTTTTTCAGAACAAGTAAAATAGGTACTTTGTAAGTGATTAAAAAAAAAAAGACAATAGAAATGCACATTCCCTCCTGTTTCTCTCTAAAAATTCTCCAGTTCCCTCTTTAGAGTAAATCATGGTTATAATTTTTAATTTTTTTAATGTAGATACCATAACAAACACAGACAGTTCCCTTCAATCCCTTTTTAAAAACATTTTGAAGAAAGTATGGAAAATATTCTGTGATTTTTTTTTTGCTTACGAAAATATCTTAATGATTATTCTATATCATATCTTATAAAGTCAAAATTTTATATATAGCTGTTTTCATTCCTTTCATTGGTATATGGACAAAATCTATTGACAGACATTTAATTTTTTCCAATGTGTATTTAAATCATTTCTTAGTTTTGCTATTAGATATAACAATATGAATAACATTTTATATATACCTGTGTATATTTTTGAGTTCCTCTCTAAGAAAAATCCCTGAGAGAGTAATTGCTGAGTCAAAGGGCATTTTCATTTAAAATTTTTGTAATGATTGACATTTTCAGTCCAAAGAAGAAATACCAATTTATTTAGTATCAAAAATAAGTTTAAAAGCCTGTTTGCTCACATCTTCTCTGCATTAAATATTATTCACATTTTAAAATGTGTAAATCTTATAAGCAATATTTTTAATTTAAATTTTATTTTTTCTGTTCTGAATAAGATTGGCATTTACTATGGTTAAGTAATGTTTTTATTTTATTTCTCTGAGACTTCTCTTGTTTGTATTGAGTAGCTGGTTCCTTGTTTACTTTTTGGGTTAAGGATATTAGTTCATTTCTTACCATATGTTTTGCAAACACACATCTCAGATATTTTTGTTTTAACATTATGAAATTGTGGGGGTGCTGAACTGCATAATGGTTGACTTGACCAAATTTTCCTTTATGGCTGTTTTTTTTTGGATATGAATAAAATGTCTTCATTATTCTGAGTTTATAAAGTATATTACACTCATGTGTCATCATGGGTTATATGGTTTCCTTTTTTATTTGACCTGTTTGGTGTGTGTGTGTGTGTGTGTGTGTGTGTAATAAATAAGGTAGGAACTTAAATTTATAATTTTTTTCCCAAATGGGCACTGAATTTTTCTAACATCATTTATTGAACAAGTCAGTGTGTTCTCATTGATATGAAATGCCACCTTTAGAATGTAATACATTCATATTTGTATTTTCATTTATTCTTATATTCTTTATGTGTTTTCCATTCAAACTATATGTAAAATTCCCTTAGTTTTATAATATGCTTGAGTTTTTCACAGTATCCACAATTTATATTACATTTCTTTTTCAGAATAATTTGGCTATCATTACACTTTATGTGTACCTTAAGAACTTAAGAAAAAAAGAACTTTAAGCTTTTCAAGAACCTGTACGTTTAAAATATGGTAATTTATCTTTCAATAGCATCACATTAAATGCATAAATATATGGAGATAATTTACTTCTTTAAAATGTCTTTTCCCATTAGGCATGTCTTATTTTATGTTCATCAACACAACTTTAAATTAATAAGTTTACTTCTAGAGTTTTTAATTAAAAAGTTTATTTCTGTCTTTTCAAAAAAATTTTGCTGTTATATATATGACATTTTTGTTTCATAACATTTTTCTTGTTTTTGTAGTTAGTAAACCAATTGATTTTTATATCTTATTTTCAATCAAGTCCTCATATCAGATTTCCTTATTGTTTGTCATATTTTTGGGTGAAGCTTTTGAGGGCTTTTTAAATTATTTTCAATTACAAATTTTTGCAAATAATATTAATTTTGCCTTTTTATTGTAATTTCATATCATTTGCTTTTTTCTTTTTCTTGGTTATTCATGTTGGATATCACCAGCAGAACAATTAATATTACTCAACAGCAATGATAGCAAAAATCCTTGCCTTTTCTAACTATAATGAAAATGCTACTAACATTTATCAATAAGCATAATGATAGCTTCTGAATATAAATATATATATTTGAAAAACAGTATTTAATTTTAGAGATTTTAAAAATTAAGTCCTTTTTAAGAATTCACAGTGATTTTTATCAAAAACCTTTTTAACATTATGCATATGATCATGCAATCTTTCCCCTTTGATGACTACATATGGCTCATTTCCATTCTTATAATCAACTCATAAGGTGGTGCTACTTGATAATCATTTATTTTTTAACATTTAATGAAAATTCATAGGTGAGAAGTCTGCTGTTTTCCTTTCTGTGTAAGCTATTTCAGGCTCTATTTTCAATGATATTCTGGCTTGATAAAAGACAGTTTATCTTCATCAGTGCATTCTGAAACATTTCTTTGAATGGCAATCAAATTGTTGCTTCCACACCTTTTAAGAATAGAACTCTGAAAGATATTTTGTATTTCCTCTATCTTTTGTTTCCCTTTCTATTTATTCCTCCTTAAAGTTAGTTGTTCAGTGCTCTCTTAGAAACTGCTGTCTCACAGTCAATGCAATTTCTAGCAAGATACCAACAGCATTTTTCACAGAGCTAGATTAAACAATCCTAAACTTTGTATGGAACCATGAAGGACTCTGAATACCCAAAGCAAACTTGAGAAAGAAAAGCAAAACTGGAAGCATTACAATTCCGGACTTCAAGTTATATTACAAAGGTGTAGCGATCAAGACAGTATGGTCCTGACATGAAAATAGACACATAGATCAATAGAATAGAATAGAAAATCCAGAAATCAACCCACAACTCTAAGGTTAACCAATATTTGACAAAGCAGGAAAGAGTATCCAATGGAAAAAGGACAGTCTCTTCAATAAATGGTTTTGGGAAAACTGGAGAGCAACATGCAGAAGAATGAAGCTGGACCACTTTTTTACACCATATACAGAAATAAATTCAAAATTGATGAAAGACCTAAATGTGAGACAGGAAACCATGAAAATCCTAGAGGAGAACAAAGGCAGTAAACTCTTTTGACATTGGCTGTAGCAACTTCTTACTAGTATGTCTCTTGAGGCAAGGGAAACAAAAGCATAAATAAACTATTGGAACTTATCAAAATAAAAAGCTTCTTCACAGTATGGGAAACACTCAACAAAACTAAAAGGCAACCTACAGAATGGGAAAAGATATTTGCAAATGACATATCTGATAAAGGGTTAGTATCCAAAATATATGAAGAACTTATAAAACTCAACACCCAAAAAACAAATAACCCAGTTAAAATGGGCAGAAGGCATGAATAGACATTTTCCAAAGAAGACATCCAGGTGGTCAACAGACACATGAAAAGATGCCCAACATCACTCATCATCAGGGAACTACAAATCAAACTATGATTAGAAATAACCTGACACCAGTCAAAATGGCTAAAATGAACAACACAGGAAACAAGAGATGTTTGTGAGGTATTGGACAAAAGGGAACCCTCATGCATTGTTGGTAGGAATGCAAACTGGTGTAGCTACTGTAGAAAAAAGTATGGCGGTTCCTCAAAAAGTAAAAAATAGAACTATCCTACAATCCAACAATTGTACTACCAGGTATTTACCCAAAGGATACAAAAATAACTAATTCAAAGGGATAGATGCACCCTGATATTTATGGCAGCATTATCAACAATAGCCAAATTATGGAAAGATCACAACTGTCCATTGACTGATAAATGGATAAAGAAGTGTGTGTGTGTGTGTGTGTGTGTGTGTGTGTGTGTGTGTGTGTATAGTGGAATCTTACTCAGCCATCATAAAGAATGAAATCTTGCCATTTGCTATGATGTGGGGGGCTAGAGAGTTTTATGCCAAATGAAATCAGTCAGTCAGAGGAAGACAAATACGATATGATTTCACTCATATGTGGAATTTAAGAAACAAAACAAATGAACATGGGGGAAAAAAGGCAAACCAAGAAACAGACTCTTACCTATAGAGAAAAAACTGATGGTTACCAGAGGGGAGGTGGGTGGGGGCTGGGTGAGATAAGTGATGGGGATTAAAGCGAGCACTTGTTGTGATGAGTACGGGGTGTTGTATGTAAGTATTGAATCACTAAATTCTAAACCTGAAACTAATATTACACCATATGTTAACTAACTGGAATTTAAATAAAAACTTGAAAAAAATATCAAGAAACTGCTGTTTCAGTTGCCATTATTATGTTAATGATGATCTCATCATTTGTAGGGCATGAAAAAATCCTAAACTGAACAATTTCTGCTAATTGTATTATATATTCCAATATTATACTAGAGTTAATTTCATTTCTGCTTTTCTCATTAAGGTAAAAGAAACTGAATGCTAATCACTGATCTAATCATATAGATTCCAAGATTCACCTCAGTATACTGAGAGAAGACAAATGGAATATTGAACTTACGGTTTTCTCCATGTTTCCTTGTGATTAATGTAGACTTTCTCTTTTGCCATTGTGGAGCAGTACCATGCTTTACCAGCTCAGAGTTATAATTATGGACTTCATTCATCTCTAGAGGAAAACAATTCAGGCCAACAGGAGTCATAGCCTTTCAGCCCCTTGGGTCATAATTTTTATAATTTAACTTGCCATACTATTCATATCCTTTTTAAAGTATAACATCAAGTTACTTCTGTTTTATATTACTTCATTACTATGATTTTTGCAATTCGTATAAAATTATTTTTATTCTATGGCAAAATATCTTTTTTTCTTAAGATTTTATTTATTTTGACAGAGAGAAAGAGAGAGTACAAGCAGGCGGAGCAGCAGGCAGAGGGAGAGAAGCAGGCTCCCTCAACAGGGAGCCCAATGTGGGGCTCCATCCCAGGACCCTGGGATTGTGACCTGAGCTGAGGGCAGACGTTTAACCGACTGAGCCACCCAGGCACCCCTCTATGGCAAAATATCTTTAGCAAGATCTTATGTACCATAAAATAAGTTAATTCTTAGCATGCAATAAAATCTAACATTAAAATAAAGACAGTGTATAATAAAAAAGACAGGGGCCTAGGGAGTTAGACATGTGTTTAATTCATAGAGCCACATTTGCTAAGTTAATAACTTCATGAATTACAAAAAAAAAGAAAAAAGAAAAAGAAAGGAAAAGTAAAGAGGAAACAAAGGAAAAAGGGAAAGAAAAGAACAAAGGATATCAACACAAACTGAGGAGTACTTTAAAAAGTGAAATTAAATAATATTCATTTAGAATCAATAATGTTAATCATGTAGTAAACAGTAAATGCCTTTCTTTTTTTTAGTGAAGGACATACAAATAATAAGGTGTAAAATTTTAAAATAAATACAAATAATCTTGCCTTTGAACAAAACAAGTAAAAAACCACTTTGCTCTCTTCGTGAAATAGTAATCATTACTGAATATGTAAAAACTTTTTATAATGAAATGTTAATACTAATTATCTTTTTTACCTAAAATTAAACTAAAGCATTGTTTGTACATACCATATGTAACTTAATTATCAAACATGTGAAGAGGGTAGGTATTATTTTATGGATGAAGAAATTGAATGTTATAGGTGGCCAAAGTCATATTTGTATTTAATATAATGCTAGAAATAGAAATCTATTAATGTAAATATAGCATGTTTTATATCTCTATTTGATAGAGAAAGGAAACTCAAGTGCATAGAAGCTGTGGATTGTCCCAGATCTCAAAACTAGAGACTAGTAAAAGTTTGACTAAAATTTTTCTAACTCCAAATCCTTATGCTGTCACTATTTCAGGCTATCTCAAATTGTGAAAGATTTTACTTTAGGTAGTTAATGAAACAAAGGAAGAGAAAAGTTCTCAAGTTTTCAAAAACTCCATTTAAAATATAACATGAAATGAACATAAGTGAATCAGAGTAATTTGTTTTCTTATGCCTTGTATGCTAGTATCAAATTCTGGGTATCTTAAAATTATATACAGGCCAAACTGCACATTTATGTGGAGAACACATACCCATGTTGTGATGGTCCCACCGATCTCGGATCAACTTCATTGTTTGATTATGACTGTTTATTTACTCCAGAGATGAATCCAAAATCTTCATTTTGAAGATGACATATCTTCCTTAGAAAAACAAGAATACAAAAATATCTCTGCTTCTCTCCCTCTGCCTGGGGCTCCGCCTCCTTGTACTCTCTCTTTCTCTCTGTCAAAATAAAGAGTTCATACAAAGCCAGGCAAAATTTTTTTTTATGTTTCTCTTGGTTATAAAATAATAAATAATTATTTCAAAAATATAATGGGTGTTTTTAATTCACCTACATTAAGCTACTTAGCCAAAAATATTTTCCATCACAGATCTTGAATGACAACACATATAGTTTTCTGTTTGTAGTTATTTTATTTGGTGACAATTTTTTTTGGCAAGGCAAATTCGGGTAAGATATATGAATATTTGGATGTTTGTTCCTAGTACATATTAATTCAACTTCTGTCCATATTGTCATCATTATTATAATCATCACCACCATCATCATCATCATCTACAAGTTATCACCATCATTATTAGCAAAAATAATCTCATGTTTATTTATATAGCAACATCTTACAGTATCTAGAAGAGCTCTCAGAGAGAGATGACTCTTTAGGGGCGCCTGGGTGGCTCAGTCATTAAGCATCTGCCTTTGGCTCAGGTCATGATCCCAGGGTCCCGGGATGGAGCCCCACATTGGGCTCCGTGCTCAGTGGAAAGCCTGCTTCTCCCTTTCCCACTCCCCCTGCTTGTGTCCCCTCTCTCGCTATGTCTCTCTGTCAAATAATAAAATCTTTTTTTAAAAAAAGAAATGACTATTTAATAAATATACATAGTGAATGGATTTTAAAAAAGCTGTTTCATGTTTGATCATGGTAGTAAGAAGCAACAACATGTTTTTTTTTCATTTTACAAATAAAGTTGTGTATCACAGAAGCTAAGTGCCCTGCACAAGAACAGAAAATTCCCATGTGTGAATTCAAATGGAAATTCAATCCTCTAATCCCAAATGTAGATTTATTCCTCTAGTTTTATTTAATGACAAGACCCCATCTTATAGCAACATCATAATGTGTTATTCTTCAGTAAATATATCCTGCCTACTCACCACTGAATACAGTGAAAAACAGTATATACCTCAGAAGTAAGAAGCATTCCTTGACCTCCGTATTTCTATTGAAAGAAGCAGTTATAATTACCTTATGTTGTAAATATTTTTGGAAACTTTCTTGAGTCTGAAACCTCAAGAATTTCTCATTTCTTAAATAACAGTTGTTAGAAACACAAACACACACAAAAACACACCTGATCAAAGAAGGAAGGTCTTGATTTTTGCGGATAAAAGTCTCCTTTACAAATGAAAAATTTAGACATGTCCTGAGTTATCACTTTAGAACTAAAACTAGAGATGTACAGTCAATTCTGATTCCTGAGAAAGATAAGACAAATGTTACTGTAATCTCGTCTTGTGAAGAAACAACACAAACCACACTACTTCCACTTTATCACAGCACAGAAAATTCTACTAAGTGGCGAAATAAATGCGAGGTGTTAACATGATTTTATGACTTAAATGATCAATGCAATGATAAGAAGTTTCCCAGAGTTTTGAGAAACAATGGTGGGCTTAGATCATCTCTTCCTGAATTAAAAGTGAAAAGTTGTTCTAAAATATGGTTGTAAGTACTATGTGGGAAAAAAAGAAGAAAATTAAGTTAACTTCATAATCAAATTGTACACATGCTGTTATAAATTTGAATGGAATCAAGTATGCTGTATCATATAAGTTGGAACCATAGAAAGATATCTTTCATATACATATACATATATAAGTATATGCACACACATAAATGCATACAAGTATATAGACATCTATGTGTACACACATGATCTTTTAACTATAAAAATATAAAGTGTATATAAAATGAAAGTTCCATAATGAACCATCATATGCCTAGCTTCAACAATTATCAGTTTGTGGTTAATAGGACTTCATTTATGATATATGCGGTGTCTCACACCCATCTCTGCGCCTATTAAATAGGGCCTTTTCTCTACTTTCCTTGTGAACATCACTCATTATATTACTCTCTATTTCTCAGAACATTAGCACCAAATCTTATGCCAGAATAGCAATATAATCAACTATAATGTCTTAGTGTTCTGGTTTTCAGCTACTCACAATTGTTGTTACATTAAAAAGTGATAAAGAGGACCGCCAGACCCAAAAGGAGCCTTTGGAGAAAGGGGAACCCTCTTACACTGTTGGTGGGAATGCAAACTGGTACAGCTATTCTGAAAAACAGTATGGAGCTTCTTCAGAAAGTTAAAAATAGAGCTATCCTATGACCTAGCAATTGCACTACTAAGTATTTATCCAAAGGATACAAAATAGTGATTCAAAGGGGCATCTTCACCCCAATGTTCATAGCAGCAATGTCTACAATAGCTAAACTATGGAAAGAGCCCAGGTGCCCACCGACAGATGAATGGATAAAGAAGATATAGCATATCTATACAATGGAATATTACTCAGCCATCAAAAAAGAGAAGTCTTACCATTTGCCACGACATGGATGGATCCAGAGGGTATTATGCTAAGCGAAATAAGTCAACCAGAGAAAGACAATTATCATATGATCTCACTCATATGTGGAATTTAAGAAACAGGGCAGAGGATCATAGGGGAAGAGAGGAAAAAATGAAACAAGATGAAACCAGAGAGGGAGACAAACCATAAGAGATTCTTAATCATAGGAAACAAACTGAGGGTCGCTGGAGGAGAGGTTGGTGGGGAGAAGGGGTAACTGGGTGATGGGCATTAAGGAGGGCATGTGATGTAATGAGCACTGGGTGTTATATGCAACTGATGAATCACTACACTCTACCTCTGCAACTAGTAATACACTATATGTTAATTAATTAATTTTGAATAAAATTTAAAAAAGACATAACGACTAAATGTACTATGGTATCCTGGCTGGGATAATGAAACAGAAAAAAAATATTAAGTAAAAACTAAGGAAATCTGAAAAACTATGTTCTTTATTTAATAATATATCAATATCAGTTCATTCACTATGACAAGTGTATCATACTAATGTAAGCTATTAATACAGGAAACTGGGGATGGGGTATATGGGAACTCTCTCTATTACCTTTGTAATTTTTCTGTAAATTTTATACCATTATAAAATAAAAAGTTTATTCAAAAATAAGTATTGGGTCTTCTTTAGAATGTTATAACAACAACAACAACAAAAACAATAATAATTTTATTAGTATAATACATATGGGAGACTTTAAAGAAAACAAAAAACCACTCTGGAGGGAAACATCTAAAAAAATCACTCACTCATATTAACTGAACATGAGCTCGTGAAAACAAACTTTAATCAGTAAATCTATAATCAGTCTATTCAATCAGTAAGAGATAATGATTAGTCAATAATCTTTAGCTAATAGAACAATTAAACACTGTAAAAAATAACTAAACACTGTAAAAATCTATGTACAATATGGATGACATAAAAATAATATAAGCAAAAGTTGATTCTGCAAAGTTTGATAAAGCTAGAAAAAAATTTAATGAAATCAGTAGGGTATTTAAAATCTTCCCATATGGGGCCCCTCACTGACCCAGTCTAAGGCTATGGTGAACCAGGTTATCAAGTGCAAGACTGCAGTGGCCTGGGAGGCAGGAAAACCTCTCTCTACAGAGTAGGTAGAGGCGGCATCCCCAAAGGCTCATGAAATTCGAATTAAGATTATTGCCGCTGCAGTTTGCCACACTGATGCCTATACCCTGAGTGGGGCTGATCCTGAAGGGAGTTTTCCAGTGATCCTGGGACATGAAGGTGCTGGAATTGTGGAAAGTGCTGGGGAAGGAATTACTAAGCTGAAGGCAAGTGATACTGTCGTTCCATTTTACATGCCATGGTGTAGACAATGCAAATTTTGCCTAAACCCTAAAATAAACCTTTGCCAGAAGATTAAGAGTTACTCAGGGGAAAGGATTAATGCCAGATAGTACTGGCAGATTTACTTGCAAAGGAAAGACAATTTTACATTACATGGGAACCAGCACATTTTCCGCATATACAGTTGTGCCTGATATCTCTGTTGCTAAAATTGATCCTTTAGCACCTTTGGGTAAAGTCCGCCTTCTGGGTTGTGGCATTTCAGCTGGTCCTGGTGCTGCTGTAAATACTGCCAAGGTGGAGCCTGGTTCTGATGTGGGAACCAAAGGCAGAAGAAAAATTATTAAATTTCCTTACTACCTGCAGCCCATTGACAAGTCCTTGAAACAGGCAGAGTGACATTCCTCTAGGGACTCAACTGCCTCAATGTTAATACTTTGCTAAGAGCAAAAGGCAATCCTAGCCTGACCACCCCCCCCGCCCCCCCAGGATCCTGTAAGTCTACCTTAAGTTATAAGAATTCCTTTGGAAACTTCCTTTATCTCTAAACCCTCCAAGATATGTGTTGGCAATCATCCCCCAAGCCCATGGCCCACCAATATACATCTGGAGGGTCTCATGACTAAGGTTTTATTAGACAGTAATAAAAGACACTTTTCCAACAATAGTTAGCCCCCTCAAGGTCCTGGAAACCTTGCTTCCAAAATTCTTTAGAGACTTAATACTATCCCTAACCCCCTCCCAACTTGAATGTATATAATGGGCCACTCCTCATGACCCTATTGCAGCTCTTTCTGCCCACGGATCCTGTCCCCATGCTTTAATAAAACCACCTTTTTGCAGCAAAGACGTCTCAAGAATTCTTTATTGGCGTCTTTCATGGGCTGTAAGGTGGCTGGTGCATCCCAGATCACTGGTGTGGACATCAATAAAGATAAATTCACAAGGGCCAAAGAGTTTGGAGTCTCTGAATGTATTAACCCCCAGGACTTCAGTAAACCCATCCAGGAAGGTACAATTCCTAACTCTCTAATCAAGGACAAGGCTGATACAGTCATAAATCTGTTTCCTGAACTCTCCTTCACATGAATAATTGCCAGCTCATTAAGGAACATTCTAGCATAATAAAAGTCATTTCTGCAAAAAAAAAAAAAAAATCTTCCCAATGGTTAACACAAAAGCTGAATAGTTTTACAGGAGAGAAATAATAAACTTTTGAGAAAAAGATCATTATAATTCATGCAAACACTTCTAGATGGTATGGATAAAAGGAATAGTTGTCATTTCTTTCACTAAAAGTAGAATTAATTACCTTGGTGCCTAAATTAGATGAGAATATGTTAAGAAAGGAAAAAGAAAAGTCGAACTCATTTATGAAAATTGTTGCAAAATCCTAAAACAGTGCTAAACCAAATCAGTGTATAAAACTCATATAGGTAATCAAATTGAGTTTATTTCACAATTATAGTAATAGTTTTCCTTTGAAAGAAAAATCATTAAATGTAATTTGCTATAAACAATAGTCTAAAGAAATAGAACAAGATTGCATCAAGGTGGAAAGCCCATTTGCTATGATTCAAAACCTTTTCATGATAAAAACAATCTTTAGCATACATATGAGAGGGCTTACATAAACATCATTCTTAATTTGGAGATATTAGTAGTCTTTTAGAAATCCATGAAAGCAAACAGTCACTAATATCACTTCTTTTCAATTTCACTGTAGAGATTTTGCAGCACATTTAAGACCACCATAGGAAATTAAAGAGATAAGGACTTAAGCATTTTTTTTTCTGATGATATGTTCATCTACATTATGGGGAGGAAGATATTTCTCTGACATATGGTCCTTTTAGGTGAACTTAGAATCAAATTGACTTGAGACAGACTAACAGGAGAAAATCAAATTTAATAGGCATATGTATGGGGAATCCACAGACACAAAATTCTAGGGACAATGAGGCAACATGAAACTTATATGAGTAAAGGAGAGGGGGAGGGTCTGAGATACAAAAGGGAGAAAACTCATTAGCAAGAAAGTAAAAGGAGATGTCTGAAAAAACAAAGTTACCCAATTATGCAGATAAGTTCCTTAGGTAAAGGGGAGTCTGTTAATAGCTCTCTTCTTGGTACAGGATCTCTTTTCCAGTGTAAATTTAGGCACTTGGGGAGGAGACAGAGCTGTTCCTGTATCTGCTGGGTTTTTCCTTTTCCTTTTTTTTTTTAATTTAAGTAAATTCTATGTTCAACATGGGGCTTGAACTCATTATCCTAAGATCAAGAGTCCTAGAGGTTTTGATTACTTTTAGCTCAAAATAATCTCTATGCCAAAGTGGCCCATCTTGGGGCAGCCTGGCCTGGGCCCCTACAACATAGAAAATTTAAAAAAAATAGTTTAAAAATTTAAAAAAACAGTTAATAGAAATAATATTAATATAACTGAATGTAGCATTAACTTGCAAAAACTATTACATTAAACATCACCAATAAACAAAAAAATTAATCTTTAAAAATATATCATTAACAATGACAAT